TTCAAGCTTTTTCGTTTCTCAGCTAGACATGTTCGACAGCGTGAAGCGAGCCACTGGTACGACAGATGGTGACTGGAAGATCTCGTACGAAAACACAAAGGAGCGGTGGGAGGCCGGCCATGAGGCGTTGAAAAAGGGAGACAGGACTGGGTTTTCAAGACTGATGTATACTCGCATCTTCTACCCCGTGGGTGATGGTGATGTCGAGCACAAATACGGCTTAGCAAACGACATACTGGGGTTGCCCAAGGAAGACCTTGATGAAGCAAGTAAAGAGGCTGTAAGATTGTGCTTCTCTGAGGAGTTACCCCAGTATAACAGGGCTTGAATTTCGGCATTGAGTTTAGCTTTCGGAACCTCGCTTCACCTACCTTAAACAAAGCACAATTGGAAATCAAAGCGGTGCGCTGTCGCCAGCTTAACAGTTAGTCTAGCAGCAACACGAAAACATAAATACATGTTTGAAATTACTTGAGCCCTCGGCATTTGACGGATAATTTGTCAATCAATCTGCCTACCTTAGTCGCTAGAAGCTAAGGCGAAGCTCCGTGTGAACGGCGCTAGTGCCGGGTCCCGCGGCCCTCCTAGGAAGCTGTGATACTGGCATCCCGTCGGATATGCTTATTAATGAGCCTGGACGATAAAGTTATTTAGCCCTCACGAAATCTAATAGAGTGTAAGCTATCCTTTCAATTCCACCCTTTCGCTTTATCAGCATTATAGATCTGATCATTCACAAACTTTGTTCATCATTTCCCGCCAGTCCCAAAAAAATCATGGAGAATGAAAAGACACACGAAGTTTCGAAGGTAATCGATGCGCCCATCTCGGAAATCTGGGCCATCATTTCGGCTTTCGGCTCCGAGAGGCTCTGGTTTCCCGGCGTAGTCAAGTCCAGCCTGGAAGGATTCGGCATCGGATCAGTGCGCACGCTTACATTCGACAACGGCTCTGTCGTCCACGAGCGCCTGGAAGTGGCCGACCCCGAAACCCATACCGTCAGGTACCTGATCCTCGACGGCGTCCCAAACACAACCAACCCCCGCGGCACGCTGCAACTTACCGCCGTTAACGAAAACCAGACACGCTTCGTCTGGTCTGGCGCATCGGATTGGACGGAGCCGAGCTTCAAACCTGTGCTGGCCGGTATACTAGATGAGATGTTCACTGGGTGTATAGACGCCGTCGCGGCAAAGTTGAAGTAGTCTGACATCCCGAGATATATATATATATATTCTTGCACTTAGAAACTTGTATGCGCGAAGGCAATTATGTACATTAAAATGCAGTAACAAAAGGCCTCCGATTAGATGTGCAATTATTGAGTGATCGTACATATCAAGGCGACACATGCGGCAGCACATCACAATTCGATCAAATACGTCACTGCCAGCTACGAACTAGGTGTCGTCGATTTGTAATTGTAGCCGGTCTCGGGTTGTATCCATTCAGTCGAAGAATTTAATCATTGCGAACGGCGTCAACGGATTGTCTCTTGGCTTTCTTGCAAGGAGCCTTGGAGGGAACAGGCTCGGCATTGTCTAAGTCCATGTTTAGCACGCTGTCTCACTTGGCACTTTCTTGTTCTCAAAGTACAACACTTGGCGACACATGAAGCAAGGTACGACATCAAAGTTTTTGCGGTTTCTGGGAAACCAAGACAATATTGGGGATTGGTGTTCAAAGAAGATAACGCGAATTCAATTACAAGCAATCATAATCTAGTAAATCTAGTTCGTACCTTGAGCGCCAATGATCTTCTGCAGGCTGGTCATGGCGTTCTCCAACAGGTTCATCTCGCCAGGGGTGTTCTGGGTGTAGCGGGAGTTGAACTTCAAGATGCTCTTAACCGTCTTGTAGGTGGCGAGGTCGATGGTGATGGGGGTTCCAACAACGTTCCAGGCAATAGACTCGGTGCAGGGAGGAGTGGTGAGAGATCCGGAGTACCTTTTGAAGCGGTCAGCACGTAGTCAAATGTCGTTGAGAGAGAGAGTGCACTTACTGGTAGACGGTGCTCCTGGAGAGGTGACGGGAGAGGCCGCTGAAGTCCAAAGGACCTGTGGGGGCGTGCTGGCCGACCTCTCTGGCCTTGTTTGCGTTCTTGAAGACAGCGGCCAGGAGAGGGTCAGTCTTCTCACCGAGCTCGATGAGGAAGCCGACAACAGCGAGAGAGGAACCTGAACCTGTGTTAATACCTGTCTGCCTTGATCGCTTCACTGTTATATCGGACTCACCATTGCCAACCTGAGCCTCCCAGACAAAGTGAACCTCCAAAGCAAAGTGCTCGCCGTTCAGACGGTGCTCGCTGGGGGTGTGGAAGTGGAACTGTCGAAGAGCGTAGGTCTTGCCGCCGTTTTCCATGGTTCCGTTGGCGCGGACCTCGAAGACGCCGTTGAGGTTCTCCAGCTCGTGGCCATCGGGGTAGTTTTCGGGCTTGAAGGTGATGGTGGAGCCCTTGACTTGCTTGGTGTTGGAGTTGAGAACGTTGATAGGGGACTGGTTCTTGCCGAGAGCGCAGGCAGCGTTATCGGCGGACAAGGAATGCCAGTTGAGAGGGCCGCTGAGGCCGTCGAAGTTGTACTTGCCCTCGGCTCTCTTGAAAAGGCTGGTGCCGTGGTGGCAGAAGGCCGAGACGGCGGGGAGGAGGCAAAGAACGGCGGTGGCCTTCATGTTGAAAATCGCAAAAGGTAAAAGAATGACCGTGTGGTGTTTGGCAAAGAAAAAAGAATGACTGTGCTCGGTGAGTTGAGTTGAGAGTGTCACGATGAAACAAGTGGTCGAAGGAGTGGAAGATCTATAAGTAATATATAGATGGCACTGGAGTGTACCAGTCGATCGTGGGGTCCAGAGAAGCTAGGACTTTAAGATGCGATATTAATTTCATGTAGTCACTACGTACGATCAGAGCTACATTGGTTAAAGGTAACCTCTTGGCAGGTTTACCTAGTCAAAACAGCAAAACACCAGAGCTTGATTAGGGGGGATAATCCTGCAAGCACACAGCCGGCTCGAGGTGAGGACGAAAGTGTAGACCTCTCCGCGGCCACGTGCTTGGCAATGATCAATCGCGGACGGGACCAGGACCTAAAGACTGGGGTTTGAGTCAGGGTGCAAGAAACACATGACGAGAACGAAGGGACGGCTCCACGACAGTCAGAAAACAGGGCCCCTGAGAGAAGCGCCTTAGACGAGGGCCAGCGAGAGAATACCCGAATCAGGTTGTCATCAAAAAAAATTCAAATTGGCGAGCGCTTGGCGGGAGTGAGTCGCCATAGCAGTGGAGACGCGCTGGCAATTTACATTGTCCCATCCCATCCCATCACACTCACCACCACTTCCCGTGGTGCATGCCAGCAAAAGGCCAAGACTCTTGATCGGCCGAGATTCATACATAGTAGACGTTGCAGGAAACCCCAGTTGTTCAAGCAGCGTTATTGGTTCAGCTGATCGGCGCCGACACAGACAAGACGGCCGACACACGGGCTTACACGTGGGCTAGCAAGCCATGAGATTCAATCAACATCTGTCAACTTTGTCAAGAATAGCCGCTGGTCCGGGATCAAGCCAGTTTGACGTTCCTCACAAAGGCCGTCCGAACTCTACGAGGCAGGCGGACGTGCGAACGCTGCACTTGGGAGAACGCTAGGGCAAACATGAAGCGATTCAGAAGGGTTCCAAGACCATGGGCAGGGGGCGGACTTTGGAGAGGGAATAGGTCACTGTCGGATAACTGTCATTCGACCATGCAACAACGGTGACGCCAAGCAACAGGGACAGGGCCGTATGAATTTACCAGACTATTACTAGCATGTCAGGGCCCAACGTACCAACATAGGGAAGGTCTTAGGGGGGGGGGGGGATAAAAGGCACAGCAGATGGGGCCTAGTCATTGCGTGGTTGATGCTGGTCAGATTAAAGTTTTGGGGCCAAGAAGGCAATGCAGCCACCGGCATCTAACCCGGTTGATTGGGGCTACAGAGGGACAAGAGATGAGCAGGTTCAGGCGCCAAGACCCAGTGAGGAGCACGCCCAGGGTGCTGCTATGCCACACAGCCACTTTTGCCTACTACCAGCCTATACTATAACAACCAAAACACCCCTACTACGTAGCAGAGGCACTGCTATTTGTACCCGCTGAGCCAAGACTTAGGCAGTAGATAAGGCGGTATAGTTCAGGGGGGAAGGCAACTGTAGGCGGGCTGCTCCGTGCTCATCCAATATAATCACCATCACCACTACCACCACCAGTGGGCATCATCTGCTGTCGTCTTCTCTTTTCGTCTTGGCTATTTGCCAAGATTCTCCATTCCATAACCGCGTACCAGGCTTGGCAGATATATAGTCGCGGCGTCCTATCAACTTCCAAGAAACACCCAAGACTTTCTGTCCAAGACTCGTCCCAAGGTCCCAAGACTCTTCCCCAATAAGACCAACACGTGGGGGATGTGTGACTGAATTGCTTGTTCGAGTTTGGCGCCGCTGTTTTACCGTGGCTTGGACGGGCGTACCGACACCATGGGACCGGCACATCAATTTGCCCATATTTTTTTTTTTCTTTCTCTCTCTCTCTCTCTCTGATTCCTTGTTTAACATGTTTCTCCGGCCGATACCCCGTGCCATCCAGTCAATCATCATCATGAAGAATACTGCTGACAAATTTCTCCGTTGCCTATCTCGCCTAGAAAATTCCCACCAAAATAGCCTGCCGTTGTGTCATGGTTGGTCTCTTGGCGCACTAAATTCAGGACTCCTCATCTTGCGTACCGCTGATTCTTCATTGGCAGGGCTTTTCTTTTTTCTTTCCCCTCCCCCATACTTTGCATGCCCTGGCTCTGGCTGTACAACAGTGGGGAAAGGTTTAGGATAGCCTGGAACCTCTCAGAACAATTCTATTTTCTTTCTCCTCCCAAGAGGACTTTGGCCTGCCTGTCATCCTGTGTGCCTTTTTATCTTTATTTTATTTTTTTTAATTTCCAAATTTCCAACCCGCTTCCCTCCACATGCCGTCATCCTTGTCACTCTCAATGTCTGACCTGGCAGAGGCACTGTCGACATCCTCCCCTGGTTCTTCCGCAACTCTACGTGGGCGCCCGACCAATACTGCGTCGCCCGCGGCCTCCATTTGGAAGCATCTCCCAGAGGCTGGATTCCGGCAGCATGTCGTCGAGCTGGAGAAACTGACAAATGCCGTGCCTGTGGATGCTCAGACTTTCCCTCTGCCTCGGCATGATGCGGCAGCGGAGGCCGTTGAAAAATCCGATGGTCTGGTAGCGGACTTGGGCGGCCCAAACTCCGACACAAAAAACTGCCAACCCCGCCAACTCTCGCTGGCCAACGAGCAACGCCTGGCTGATGATATCGCCTATCTCATTGCTGTCGGTGAAGGGGCGCAGTCTGTTGCCGCTGCTACTGTCCAAGAAGGTCGTAATCTCCAAGATGGAAAAGATGGAAAAGGAATGAAAATCACCGTTGCATCCGTTGATGCGATCGAACCCAGCTCACAAGCGTTTCTACGATCCATTTTTCAGAAATTGTCTGCCGAGCCAAGCCCGAAAACCTTATTGCAGGATCTTGTGGACGAGGTCACTCGACATCACCACATTCGTCTACTCAACCGTCTTCGGTCGTGCAAGTGGAAGAAGCCAGTCTACCTCTCCCGCACCCACAAGAAACCCCTGTATGCCGACTTTGCCAACCTCGTCCATCGCGCCCAGTTCTTGTATACCAGGAGAGAGGCGAATACACGTGCCCAGCTCGAACAACAGCTTTTGGCTCTTGCTGCACTTCTTGAGGCCTTTGAGACGGCAACCGATGATGACCATGAAAAGCTAGTAGGGATTGTCCGCTCTAGCTACAATGTATGCACTTCGCCCCTCGTCGCAGACTATCTCGGGCGCCTGCAGGGGGTCAGGGCAACAACTCAAATTCAGGCGTGCCTAAAAACCTTGCGCCAGCTCGAAAAGATCGCTGCATACCACCGCATCTGTCTAACTCTAACAAGGCTATCCCAATCTCATGCCAAGATTTTCGCTAGCGTCGAGCTCCTCTTTCTGCCTCCATACGAGGCGGTGCCTCTCACCACCGTCGCCTACCAACCGTGGGCGAAGGCGACTCACGTGCACGCAGAGGTTATACTCAGCGTCCATCATGATCTCGAATTCCATCGATCACAACCTGAAGAGCACCCTTGGCACAAGCCGAGGTGCCTTGGCGCCTCCAAGTACTTTTGCTATCTCTGCTTCCTCTTCATTCGACACCACGGGGCTTACTTCGCGGCTAACACGCACGGGGCCTGCTATGACCAGTGGACAGTACCGGACCTCGCCGAATATCCTGAGACATTAGCCAGCCGTTATAGTGAGGTATTACGCGCCATGGACGCCGACGTTCAAAATCAGACACGCGCCGCGGTGTGGAGGCCAGAGCCCATGACGAGCCGGGAAAATCTGATTGAGACGACAGAATGAACATGACAAGAAACCTGGGGGGGGGGGGGGGGGGGGGGGGGGGGGTTTTCCATTGTGTATTGCATAGATCCGACTCACGACTCAAAAATCGAACGTGGCTTAGCTATAGCTACGCTCTCATGTGGCTGTTGCTCTCATTTTTCTGATTACTGTACTCAACAAGTCAAGCCCAACCGCGCGGACGTAGATCCTCCTATCTTTGCGCCCGTTCGACGGGTGTACATGATTCAGGTTTCATCCGGGGACTTTTCGCCTCTGAATGCTACCCCCCGGTTGCAGATTGACAGGCACAAGGTAGCCCATGGAGCCATCATAAATTTCATATAGACTAAATCAAGCGGATGCTGATCTAATTATTCCTCTCCATGATTGCCATGTGCAGTGCCTCCATGGCCACCCAAGCCCTTTTTTTTTTTTTTTTTCACTCCATAATTCTTCATTTTTGTCATGAGGCCGTCTATGCTGAATAACATTACTCATCATCGATTTCAGTTCTGCATTTTGCAGCCCCCCACCATCTTCATCATTTTATTACTTAGTACTGGTAAGAAAGCCCCGTGCGGCTGAGCCTGCGCTTGTTCAAAATATAATACTGCACGTTGGCCCAAATACCACAGGCCACCGCGGCAGTCACGAGGCCCGTGATCACGGTCCAGCCCTGGCGGTACTTCGGCGCATCTTCCTCGCGGAACAGCTGTTTACCCACAATGCCAGAGCAGTTGGCTGCCATAATAAGCATGGCCATGGTGATTGATCTCTCACCGGCCGACTTGGCGTTCATCGAAACCCAGGCGCCGTTGACGGGGTCTAATTAAGCTGTGTCAGTTGCGTGACCTCTTGGTGTCGTACTGTTTGGAGAAAATGAACTTACGCCAAGGGAACGAAAACGCCGTCGAAAGAGTCAGCATTGTGAACCTCCTCGTGCGGTCAGAGTCAATTAACAGCATGTTGCCAAGCTATAGGTTTTGTCAACAATTTAATTCAGCCAAGCCTCGACAGGTGATGTTGTCTACTCACGTTGAAGCCCCAGAAAATGAAGAGTCCCAGGAACACCCATGGGCCCCGCACCTTTGTCTTGTCGCTGTCACACAACAAAGTCAGTTTCGTTTGTTTTGATTCGTTCAGCTTGGCATGGCACACAACAGCACTTACGCGATCCAACCCCAGAACAAGTTGACGGGGATGAGAATCCATGCGCCGATGGAGACCATTGCGTTGGACTGCAGTCTGTCGTAACCCATAGATGCGACCAGCGACGGAGCGTAAGAGCTGAGAGTTGATGACGGCGAAAGAGCGGCAATGGTGAAGATGATGTGGGGGATGAGTCTCCAGTTGGTCAACTATTTCGGGTGAGCGCGGTTCACGCAAAACACAACACAGTTTCCAAGACTTACTGCTCCTTTTAGCTCTGGCCAGCTGACAGAACGCTTAGGGTGAGCCTTTGAAGGGTCGTCGAGCATGACTCTCTTGTAGAGGATTTCGGCCTCGCGCTCCGTGAAGTAGCGCTTACCAACCATGGACACGGGGTTGTTGACTTGGTTGGGAAAGAAAATGAGGAAGCAGATACCGACGAGTACAGTAAAGATACCCTCGAGCTTTTTTTGACGTCAGCAACTGTTTGACTGTAAAACACGGTATCTCTCCTACCAAGAAAAGCCATTGCCATCCAGCAAGGTTGGCAATACCTCTCATGTGCAAACTGAGGGCGTTGGTCAGTTGGAGTTCCGTAACTGATAGTGATCTCACCAATTGAGAAACTCACATTCCATAGGCAATCAGTCCGGAGCAGGCGGCGGCAAGCATGTTTCCGATGAAGAACCACGAGAACCTCTTGCTGGTCTCCTCCTTTTTGTACCAGCGGGTCATGGTGTACAGCGCGGCGGGAATGAAGCCGGCTTCGCAAAGTCTGGCGATAACGTTAGCTTTGGCTTTTTTTCCGAAAGTCTCCAAAGCTTGATGCATACCCAAGAAGCAATCTGGTAACCATAAAAGGGCCAAGACCCTTCTGGAAGGCTTGAAAGGTTGCGACCAACCCCCTAAGTGGCTTAGTTAGCGTTGTTGGCTTTGAGTTGCCAAGGCTCGGAACAGCCTACCATGCAACGATCTGTCCACCAATCCAAAGAGTCGGACCAACTCGATACAAGATAAGATTGCTGGGAATCTTGAAGTTTGTTAATTGCGATCCCTTTTTTTGAGTTTGCACGACAACTGACCTCGAGGATAACAATGCCTGCAGACAACAATTGCTGGCCGACGTTGAACTGGTTCTGCGAGATTCCGACGTCCCTCAGGAAGTAATCCGTCAAAGCATTGCCACTGTTCCTTCTGTCAGATACACTCCTTGTATTGTTATCATTTTGTGACTTCGTACATGTTTCCACGGTCGAGTTGTAAGGCGAAGAAGGCGAGGATCAAGAGGGGCATGATAAGGAAATCGACCCTGTAGAGAAATGGGTCAGTAATTGTCACTCGACGCCAGATATATCGACCATTGAGTAAACTTACTTTCGAACCAAACGCTGCTCCTCTTCTGGCGACCAGTCAATTTCGGGGTGGTCAACATCGCTCTGGCTATCAGGGCTCTCGGCCACTATCTTGGTGTGCTTCTCATCTACGGTTGCCATTTTGAAGCAAGCCTGTTGATCTTGCGACTGA